TGACTTTAAATATTTCTTCATTCCACCAAAGGCTTTCATCCAAATTTTGAGGTTCTCAGGCAACTACAGAAGATGTGTTCCTGTGTGAAATCTCACTTGTGTGCTGCTAAATGACCCTGCAATCTAACTTGAGCTCATCTTCACAAACCCTGCATGCTGCAGAGCTATAAATGACTGAGCATGACTAACTCTACTTAAAAATCCCTTTTTCTCTATTACACAGATGGACTGGGTGGTTGGAATACATCAGGGTGTGAAATGGAATATACAGATATGAATTACACAATCTGTTTTTGTAACCATCTTACCCATTTTGGAGTCCTACTGGTAAGTACTCTATGAATCATCTCCCAAAAAGTCCCGTGGCACTAAACAAAGTCATCTTTAGATTTGGGGAGAGATGGGAGGTTCATATCTATGCAAGCTGTTAGATATCTGCAATTTTGCCAAAATCAGTAATAACAAATAAAACAGTTATAATAATTTAATGATATAAAGTCCTCTAAATGTCACCTGCTTCAAGGCAATTTCATTTTACAGATGTAGTTTGTACTTCTTTGCAGTGTAACTTAATCAACCTTAATGTCTTATTTACTGCATTGGAAATACTGTGTTGAATTTATTACCTGCCAGTGGCAACTAATGACATTACATCTTTTGGAATGTTTTATCTATGCTCCATCAGAAACTGAAGTTTAATACAAATGTGGGAGATGTCATTATGTATCACCTCTTATTTCTCTGTAATACAGAGAAAACTGCCTCTAAAAGTAAAATGTCGAAAGCTGATATGACTGCCTGAGAATGGGCTGCAACAAAGGCAAAGTGATAGGCAAGTTCTAAGCAAACTGAGTAGATTAAAATTGTCTAATCCCAGTACGATACAGCCCACAGGATCGGGTATGGCCCCACCTTTGCCTTAGGATGCTTCCCCTAGAGGTCAGCATCACCCTGCTCCACCAGAAGCAAAAGCCCTCTCCGGGAGTAAATATGTGACATTACAGGGAGGAATTGAGATGGTTCAGATTTCGGACACTTGCTCAAGTTCCCATTCAAATGAAGAGAATTCGGTTTGATTTTAAGATCATACCTCTCACTGCCACTGTAGTAATCAGCACACCTACAAGTATTCAACATCAGAGATGTGGGTTACTGGTCTGAGGTTCAAAGCTTCACCAAATAGAAGAGAAACTGTGTCAGGGAACAACAAAATCCTCTCAATATTCCTTCAGCAGCTGTGGAGAAGCAGAGCACAGCCTCCTAGCTGATTTTGCAGAGGGATGCTTTCTGGACAGGGAGGATCCTCCCACACTCCAAGACATTTAGCAGATTTGTGCAGTTCCCAAGCATGGCAGCTGCCACTGAAACAAAATAGTTTCTCCTACAAAGCAAGCTCCAGAGGAATAATTTTGTCAAGATCCTGGAATCCTTATTAAATTTGTGTTTCCTGAAGGACAGCTTTTCTAGCTTCACAACTTATTGCTGGATACTTTAAATACTGCATATTTTTACTAGTTTGGATATCCTGTAGGACTATACAATAAGAAACGCATAAAAATGTTAATGGAAACCCTCCAAAATTAGCAGTAAGCAGAACAGGAATTGATTTCTTTTCAATGTGAAAATGTGTACAGGAATTTTCTTAATCCGTAGTGGCAAACGACTGTGATTCTTTATCTTGTAACACAGGACTTGGCCCGGACAGAAATAGATGTCACACATGATCATATATTAACTCTGATAAGCTATGCAGGATGTGGTGCTTCTTCCCTTTTTTTGGGAATAACGTTGGTGACATATCTAACCCTTGAGTAAGTCTGATCGTTTTTCTCACATGGCTTTTAATATTTTAGCAATAATGGATTTGCAGCAACTATAAGAACGTTTGTTAATATTTGATGCTGTAATGCACAGGAGGGAAAATTGAGAGCTGACATTATAAAAATTGCTTTATTTTGACCTCTGGTGAAATTAGAAGGATTCAAACACTTAATGCTTTAATACAAGCACCAGTCTGAACTGTTCAGCAACTTCTATGTTCCTAAATTTCACAGCACCATAGAATGGCTGTACACTGGATGATGCAGAGATAACCTTGTGGACTTTCCCCTTCTTTTTAGGAAGCTGCGGAGAGACAATCCTTCAAAAATCCTGCTCAACCTTTGTGCTGCACTGCTGATGCTGAACATGGTCTTCCTCACCAATTCCTGGCTGTCCTCATTCAACCAGCCAGGCCTCTGCATCACCATGGCCATGCTCCTTCACTATTTCCTTCTTGCAGCTTTCACGTGGATGTGCCTGGAGTCTGTTCACTTTTACTTGGCTCTTGTCAAAGTTTTCAATGTTTATGTCCCAAAATACATCCTAAAATGCTGCATTGCTGGCTGGGGTAAGCAAGCAGATTTCTTCTCCACTTCTGGGCTTGTCAGCTTCTCTAAGATTGGGGCATATTTGCAAAAGCAAGTGAGGACACTGAGCTAGCAGAAATGACCTGAGCTGTAAGGATGGATCTCTCCCCCCAGGCAGGTTCAGCTTAAATTTCTTCTGCTCAGGGAAACATTAGCATAAAGTGCCTGTTGCTCCCTGCACAGTCAAATGAAAAGGTGAAAGTGGGTGTAAGGAACTGCTCTCCTACCCCTCCTGTTCTTACAGGAATGGTTTATCAGGGTACCTCACATCGGCTGTGTGTGCCTGCGACAGTATGAGCTGCCCACAGCCTTCACTCTTGCACTGGGGATGCTCAAAGGTGTTTTTAGTTCCTTCTCCAAGCCCTGTGTCCAGAATACCTGGCATTCTATTCATGATTACCCCACACAGGGGGGATTTGACTTTCATTCATTGCTCTCCTGAGGACTTCCCTGGACAAGCATCAGAGGCTTGTCTGGGAGAAACACAACAAAAAGAGCCCATAGGCTGGTTCAGCTGTTAGAAAAGGTGTTATCAGAGGCACTGACCTAGAGCAGAATTTGGTCTGCATTATTTGGGTCACCATTAGATGCTGTTTTAAAGGGGGGGAGGGTTGGCTCTTGAATAGTGTGCAGTGTATTGTCTTCTCTACCCTCAGATCTGACATTGCACACAACTGTTCTCAGGGGCAGCCATCCATGATGGTGTTGTTGGCAGCAGCTGTTCTCCACAGAAAAGACAGGACTGAAAAAAATGTGGGAAATGGGAAATGAGTGGAAGGGAAGACTGATAAAACACTGCCTGGAAAACGTCTGTCTCTATAAGCTCTTAACACAAAATGCTGTGGTTTGCTTATCTTTTGACACTCAGCTTTTGTAATAATCAGTTGGTTTTATTTTGCCAGATTGGATCCCTTCTGGAGATGTTTGAACACTCACAAACATTTTGCAAACACGGATATTTTTATGCCTACTCATTTGTGATTTACATAAATAGGGAGATTCGACCTGCTATGCCATATATTTAATTACACTTGTTTCAGAAGGAGATTTTGGGGGTAGAGTTTGATCCTAAGCTGCATATGTCTGCTGTAATTACTCATCAGAGATTATCTGACATCTTTCCATATTCTCCATTTTTTAAATCAAAATATTTCTTTTTCCCTTGCTTTCCATGTTAGGAATACCAGCTATTGTAATTATTCTTGTGCTCATTATAAACAAAGACTTCTACGGCAATGGGTCGCACTCTGAGAACAATCCTTACAGCAATTTGTAAGTATAATGCTTTCAGCTTTTTGGTGGTCACCAGAGTATCTGAAAGATACAAGAGATAACCAGAAGGCAACAACTTCTCTCTTGCTTTTGTCTTTTCTCCCCATCTTTACCCTCTCCTTTTAGTGGTTCTGGTTCACTGAATCATTTTGGATGTGTGGCTACTGCACAGAGTAACTGTCACATCAGTGAACTGGGCTTGAGGACAGGGAAGGCTTCTGCCAGTCAACTCCCTGTTTGTTTTCCATGAAATCTCTTTCTTTACATGACATTAGCTCAGTCTGGTGGGACATTTCTATATGCTCCTTTGTGTTCTGGGTTTCTGGTAAAATGTGAAGGTACGATAATTGCTCAAGGATTTTGCACATTTGCTTCTGGTGGTTTTGTTTTGTTTTGTTTTGTTTTGTTTTGTCAGTTTTTGTGTTTTGGTTTGGTTTTTTGTGTTTTGGTTTGTTTTTTTGTGTTTTGGTTTGGGGGTTTTTTGTGTTTTGTTTTGTTTTGTTTTTTTTTATGTCAATTCATATCACTGTCTCATCATAATTTCAAATTCTTTTATTTAAATCATCTCAACCTCCTCCCTTTTCCAGTGGGAAAACACTGCATTCTTTCATCCTTTTCTAAAATGATTTTATAGCAAAAATGCTTCCATTTTTTTCACCTGCTTTCTGTTTAGCACAATCTGATCACTTGATGGTGAAGATTACCTGGAATATTTGAATTTTATCCCATCAGAGAGGCAACATACCCCTGTGACACCTCAGAGGGAAACTTGTTACCCATTGTTAGCAAAAAGACACTAGTTTATGTCTAAGGAAAAGCTAACCAGTGGCATGCTATTATTTAGACTCCTAATTAAGTCATATTTAACTTGGTTTTCCTAAGGCAGTGTGTCTTTGTGTGTATACATCATTAAGTTGTGAAACAATTGTCATGTTTATCTGAATTTGGCAGAAGTAGTAACGTCTCAAAGTTAATGAAAATCCATAACATCCATCAGAAAAGGCAAGCAGAGAGATTCCATGAATGTCCTCACTGGGTGAAAATAAGGGGCATTAGGGTATGCCCTGAGTGTTGGAGAAGCACACAGGATACTTATTTGGGGAACCAGGCTTCCTGAGTTTCACTCTCACAAACTCCTTATATTGAATCCACGCCTCCCTTTCTTGCAGCTGCTGGATTCAGGACAGTGGAGTGTTCTACATCTCTGTTGTGGCCTATTTCTTCTTGATATTTATGACAAATACAGCCATGTTCATCACTGTTCTCCTCCAAATCCACTCTGTGAAGACAAGGACACAAAAGAGATCCAGATTCTGGAAAAGAAGTGTTCTCCAAGACCTCAAAAGTGCTTTCAGCTTGATGTTCCTTTTGGGCTTAACTTGGGGCTTTGCCTTTTTTGCCTGGGGAGAAGTGAGGATATTTTTCTTGTATCTTTTCAGCATTTTTAACACCTTGCAAGGTAATTTCTCAATGGAGTAGTGCTATAAATACAACAATTTAGGGCTGCAAAATAGAAATAAATTTGTAACATCATGTAATTCAAGCATAGGGGAAGAGGAGAGCTTCTGTATTACAGGGTTTAGCTATTTTAAAAGGAAGGCTCTGTTGCAGTGGGATGACAGTGTTGTTTAGACAGCTGTTATAGACTATTAAAGACATGAATTCATGCCTTGGAAACATGGGTCCCAATAAACACACCTTTTTAGGAGTTGGCACAATCCTTTTCATCTGGGCATAAAAATGGTTGATAAAATCCACAGTGACTTGCAGATTATTCTTATAAAAAATCTGCAGAAACCTCTTCCTATCAACCTTCCATATGTACAAAGGAGTTGGTGCCACTCTGGGCCAACAGAATCATAAAATCACAGAATGGGTTGGGTTGGAAGGGACCTTGAAGATCCCAATGCTGGCCCAGGGACCACCTCTGCCCATGCAGAACGTTACTGGTATCAGGGGCATGCCAAACATTTAGAAAAGCGACACTGGGTTGGAGAATACATCTGAAAACACATTAATCTCTCTTCTTCCTTCTCTAGGGTTCTTTATCTTTGTGTTTCACTGCCTAATGAAGGACGAGGTAGTGAAGCAGTGCCGAGTACACTTCTGCTGGGGAAGATTCCGTCTGAGTAACTATTCTGGTAAGCACTGAGGGGGTTTGTTTAGCTTGACTCATGAGTCTTTGTCTGCTACTGGTGCCACATTTGTTCTACATTAAGAAATAAGGCTCCCTCAGTAGACTTTCTGCATTGCATTGGATGATTCTTCTTTAGTAAGTCTTTATCCTCTCCCATTAACTGCTTATATGATATGATGATGGGTTGACAGCATGCAGTAAAAACTGCAGATTTACAAAAATTATTTTAGCTTGGTCTCTGATTCTGTTCTCACATGCCATTCGGTGTTCCCTTATGTGAGCAGTGTTTTTGGTGACTTTCCAATCTTCATAAAGCTGAGATTCTGAAATTTATGCAGAATATTGGGCATGCTAGTAGCTATTTCTTATGTGCAGGAGCTGGGTTTGCTCAGCCCGGGAAGGAGAAGGGAGATGTCTTGCTGTCTCTGGCTGTCTGAGGGGTGGTTATTCTCTGGCTGTTTGAGATGTGACATCTGTACAGAATTTTGTTCCTGTGCCTTCCACTCTCTGATTTCAGACTGGAGTGGGTCAGGTGCAACTGCAGGATCTACACCAAAGCATTTAAACCGCAAATCACCATCCCAGGCTTTGCAGAGTCTAAATTCTAATGGAACAAGTTCAACTTCCAATGGTTCAGATTTCCTTCCCAGGTCTTCTCCAGATAGGAATTTTAAGATTGGTAAGAGAAACAGTGTGCACTGCATAGACTGGAATGCAATAGGTTCCATATGGTGACTGTCAAATCCCAACCAATGGAAATAAATAGGAAATCTTTCACTGCTTTGTCTGTGCCAGAGTGTGGTTTGGGGTTAATGGCTACATTACATGTGGCTTCTCTTGTACTAAGGAAAGTAAGAAAGCCTGTAAAATCCTGGGATGGCTCTTCTCCAAAAGGAAGGGAACCCTGCTCAGCTTCCATCTTAGGCATCTAAGAGATATTCTACCCTGGGCCAACTGGCTGCTACTCACATGGGACCTACTTCCAGTTAGGAAGCATCATAGTCTTGAGATAGACGATAGTGCTCCCTAACTGGAATTGCATTCCCAAAAGAGTTGAGATCTTGGGGATTCCAGAAAGCTGAACAAGACCTGCTGTGAGTCTTTTTAATCCAGAAGAATCCCAGCAGAAGGTTTTGCCTTCCAAGATGAAGAAATTGTTGTAGAGCCATTTACTGAAACAGGAATAGCACCAAACATTCCTGGTTGTTTTTGGAAATGCTGATTTGTGTTATTTTCCCAAAGGTGTTAAAACAGTGAGTTCTGCATATACTCTTACAGGATTCTTTCTAAATACATCAAACCAAATAATTATAATGGAAATTTTTTCCCAATTCTTTCCCATAGCTGAAGTCCATTACAACCCCAGTGCTGTATCTCCAGAAGATGGTGAGACCAAACATCCTTGTTCACAAAGAACACTAACCATGGATACAGGACTGCACTATCCACAGAAAGCAGGATTTTTACACTGATACTGAATTTGTTTTCTTCTGATTATCTAGTGATGGTTCTCCTCTGTGTATGAAAACAAGCATTGTTCAAATAATTACTTCCAATCTACAGTTATCACTCTGGACACAGTTATCCCATGACTCAACTCTAGGCTTCAGTGGAATTTCAATCCTGACCACACAAGGATTTGCTGCCCCCATGTTTCCAAGATTAGTCCTCATGTTAAACAGAGACTGGAAACATTCTCTCCCTCATCATTAGTCCCTCCCACAGTTCATCTTTTTTTACCCTTTACACCCTCCTGCCATTTCTCTGTTTTCTTCTTCATCTGATACTTATTGTCATAGCCTAACACACATAATACTGAGTTTCAAGTGATATTTTTTAGCCTGCTGGTTGACTGCCTCAGGCACAGACATATCTTTCCTTACTTTTTCTGAAATGGAGTTTGACCAACTTGGACATCAAGAAGTTGGACTCAGCCTCCAAGATGTATGTTTTTATTTTCAGTTGTGCTGGCTCCGATGATCTGGTTTTAGATCTCTAAAGAGATGTAGATGCACGTTTAAATGTTTGAAAATGTTGCCCAGTACCTTCAAATGGAATGTGTAAACAATAAAAACTGAATTTCCTATGTCTAATGGGTATCTATGTGTATGAAATAAGTTTCAGATTATCTCTCCTGAAAAAAAAAACACAAAATAAACAGAACAATAGCAGATAAAATCCTACCATCTTTGGAGGTGGCAATTAAGAAGTTTGACTTTTAGTATTACTTTGTTGTAAATACAGCAAGAGTTAAACTCCATTTCATAACACCACAAGAGAGACTCAACTTTCCTCTCCTATGAGGGAGAGGCTTCCTTTCAGCAAATGTGTCTGAATTGGTAACTTGCCTGTTCAACCAAATCCTAGTTTCAGTTTTGAATGCCCTTGTCTGTGTATCACTGAAGTAAAGATTTTTTTATGATTGATAATATAGTGAAATACTAACCTGTACCAGTGACAGAGGAGTAAAATAATATAATGGAGCGATGTTTTAGAGCTGTTATGTACAATAGAAAATACAGAAGGTTCTTTCAGTCTGTGAATAACTCCCACACAGCAATTAGTGGAAAAGATGAATATTTTAATGTACAGTAGCTACACCCAGCCTACTTGAAATCAGGCAGATCACCTTCAGTTCCTCATCTTTCTGTGAGAAATGTTGACATTAAAAACATGCAAACAAGTTCCACCTCATCCCCACTTGTTTCTGACTTGAAATTGCTTTCAATGGGAAAGAAATGTAACATAAAAGGCAGTTCAGTGTGTCAGACACAGAGTATTGTGGTTTTTATTTTCATAAGTAAACTCTTTGTTTCACAATCTGCTGCTGAATACAAGTTTTCCCTCTTTGCAAAGCAAAGCAGGACACGCTGTGCTGTGGTGCTAAAGCTCTGCCTGATCCCCTCCTGCACCCCTAATCTGGCTGCTGCACACCCTAGGAGGGTCCTGAGAGGGTAAGGAAGGAGCCTGTGGAGTTCTTCAGCAGAACTGGAGTTTAATCCTCCCACAAGTCCCTTTTACACTAGTTTGTCTCTGCCACAATATCAGTAAGTCTAGGTGGGTGGACAGTCTGACGTGTCTCTACCACCCTGCTTTGACCCTCGCTTTCTCCTTCATGCAGTAATTCTTTCTGCATCCACTTCAGAGGACAGAAAATAATGGGCTTACATTTTGGCTAGACATTAGGTAACAATTTCTGTTTTTAAGGACTAAATGGTCTAGAGAGCACACGGAATTGCCATCATTGCAGGTATTAAAAAACACTCATAGTGATGAGACAAATATCTGTCAGAACTGGTATAAGTATATTTTGCCTTAGGGCAAAGGATGGACTGGAAGACCTGTTAAAAGTTCTCCCAAATCTATTTTCTATTACTCCAATTTAAAATAAAAAGGCAGTAAAAGAGGATCAATACGAGAGCAACATGAGACTGGCCTTTTCTCCTGCATCCTGTAATTGTTTAATTACATTCCTGATAAAAGGCGAAATGTACCTTGATTTACTAAAGTTTTAGCAAAATGCCTTCATAATATTATTAATGGATTAAGACCAACAAAGATTCGAATAAAAGCTGGACAAGCAGTAAGAAAAGTGCTGGAATACTGAAGACTTGTCTGGCTGCTGAGAAATGGCTGGAAATTTCTTGGGTGGATCCATCAGCATGTACATTTTGGAAGTGTACTAGCAGGAAGAAGAGCAAGCTGCACAGTGTGGAGCGATGTCAGGTCTCCATTCTTGCTATTGAATTTTTGTTTTCTATTCCAAAAGCAAAATCTGGAAGTAAATTTTTAAACCCCTGTCAACTTGCTTATGTAAAATGCAAAGCGCTATTTGTTTTGGGAAGGCTGTTAGCTCACTTCCACTCTCCATCACATGCCTAATGGCTTTTCCAGCTAAACAGTGTATCATTTATGTTTCAAGCATGGCATTGTTTGGGTTGTCAGCCAGAATGAGGATGTGTAATTTTCCTTGGGCTGAAATAATATCTTCCGCGCCGGCACCATTGCATCTGCTCTTCTCCAACGTATCTACGCTGACATTCTGTCACAGAATTGTGCATTGATGGTTTTCACAGGGAGAGGACATGCACAAAGAACAAATCTAATAAAATCTGCTATGTGCTTGTGATTCACATCTCGATAATTTCCAGTGATGGGAACAGCTTCCACAGCTCTGGCTGGAGCGTGAGCCGTGTGTGACCGATACAATCCCATCCTCCTCCCGGTTTGGATTGTATCAGTTGACTCCTGTGCATGGCAGGGGGTCAGAATGAGATGATCTTTAAGGTCCCTTCCAACCCGAACCATTCCATGGTTCTCTGACTCAATCTGAAAGCTCCTCTGATTTCTAAGTCATCCTCATTTACTCCTAGATTGCTTATTTTTAGCGATACATACACCAGGAAATGTGTGCTCTGTTTTAAAGCAGTAAAATAAGGATTTCAGGAAGTATATTTATCTATGAAGACAGTTATTCAATGTCAGATCTCAGTGGGTTGCTAACAATAGGTTAGATGATACAAAAGAAATAAAAAATGATAGTAAAGTCACTGCAGCAGTTGTGTCGAATTGAACAAAACACTCCCCACTCCCATCTTGCTATTTAGACTGGCACAAAACTCACCACCCTTTGTACCAGCTAAGTCAGGGCATGCAGATCCAAGGTGTTGGCAGCTCACTCACAGGTTCCCAGAGACTTTTTATGTCCCTTCATGAACAAGTGGCTAAAGCTGCCTTCTAGCTCAGTGTATGTACAGAGCTTTGATAACCCTGGGACAGATAAATATTACGTAGGATGATAGCTAAAGGTCAGTACAGCTTGTTTAAACTTCCTCCTGAGAGTGTCTGAATCTGCAGTAGTGGTTGACAACATGGAGTAGCAATGCTTACACCCAAGATGTATAATTCTTTCTAAATTTAGCATACAGTTATTATTGGGACAACAAAAGAAGTGTCATTATGGGAAATGATTTGAGATTAAAAATCAAAATACTGGGAAGATAATTACCTATTGCATAAGATGATTGTTAAGTCTTAATGCACAATCCACTGTGCTTTTAGGTATCAGAAAGTATTTAGCATGTAATGGCATTTTAATGGTTCCAAATTAAATGTATCATTGAGAGTTTCAAGGATGCCCAAAAGAATTATGCTGCTATATTACTTCCTTGCCTGGTTGTGCATGTAACTGATGAAATTCAAGGATTGAATTCCACTGTTTATTTTTCTCTCTTTTCTGAGAAATGACACCAGTATTTCACTGGCCATTCCCATACTGGAACTGGCTGAGGAAACTTTTGGAAAAGGGGGCTGGAAGGAATGCAAGAATAAAGAAACAGGATAAAAGGTATTTGGAGCCATAGATTAATGACAGCATTTGGGATCCCATTGCAGGCAGAGTTTGTCCCACTAACTCCACTGAACAGTCTGGAATTGGGCATTGCAAGAAAATCAGAAGCTCTTTTCTCATATTTTGACCAAGAAGTTATCTGTCTTGTTGCTGTATCACTGAATGTTCCCCCTGACAGCTCATCCAAACTGACCTTCCGTCTCACTTTCATAACACTGAGGGCTGAGATGGTGTTATTTTTACTCCTAGACATGCTGATAAGTTTTGTGGCATTTGAAAGTTTAATTGGATAGCCCATCTTTAGTTTCAAAAAACAGGGACACTGTTCCAATTAAATATTGCTGCAGGATTCAATGCCCTGAGTCTCAGTGCCTGCACAGCTCCCTCTGCCCTTGGTGTAAAATCAACTCCACACTGACAAACCCAGTAATAAACCAGTGTGTTATTCTCCTAAATGGGTAGTCTTTAACAATAAATGGTTACACACTGCCATGAATGTGATGCAGACAAGGAAATCATCATTAAAGTGTACTAAAAAACATTTTCCATTTTTATAGCTCAGTAGTTGTTTAGTCTCCAGCTGCTGAGGAGATTGGGAAATGGTAAAAAAATCAAAATACAAGATAGAGAAGATGTTCCCAATCAGTGGTAAAAAACATCAGACTGACACACACTGAAATAAAGCTCTTGTGCTCACAAGTGAAGAAATCCAGTGTGGGCAGTGCCCTCTGCAACATTCCTTCCCTTTGCCTGACACTCGTAGCTCCGAAATGGATGTCTGGTGAGATGGGAAGGTGATGTTCTCTATGTTTAGGGAGGCACTCAGATGTGGTGCATGGAAATGACTCATTCCCATTGTCCCAGGAGGACAGAGCAGAATTGAACACAACCCTGGATGTGTTAATAATCTGCTCTAAACCTGGACCACTCTCTCTGACAGGGATGCTCACTCCAGGTGTGCATTCAGGCTTTTCCACTTAATACCTGCCTTTCTGAACACGAGAAAATGGATTGGGAAGAGTCACACAAGTCACACAGCCATGAAATGGCTCTTTGTCCCCCCATCTTGCCATTACTTGTCACAGCACTGGCAATTTCAATTTAAAGGGAAGACACTAAAGCTGAAACACAGATGTGAGTCAATTACACACAGCCATCCCTTAGGATGTTGTCTCTAGAGCAGAGATTCCTCTTCCCAACACTGGCTTTGCCAGTTCAGAAAACACTAGGAAGAANAAGAGAAACAGTGTGCACTGCATAGACTGGAATGCAATAGGTTCCATATGGTGACTGTCAAATCCCAACCAATGGAAATAAATAGGAAATCTTTCACTGCTTTGTCTGTGCCAGAGTGTGGTTTGGGGTTAATGGCTACATTACATGTGGCTTCTCTTGTACTAAGGAAAGTAAGAAAGCCTGTAAAATCCTGGGATGGCTCTTCTCCAAAAGGAAGGGAACCCTGCTCAGCTTCCATTTTAGGCATCTAAGAGATATTCTACCCTGGGCCAACTGGCTGCTACTCACATGGGACCTACTTCC